CAGGAAGGGAAGAACAGCATGAGATCATCCTGAGTCTAGGGACGAAACAGTGAGTTTTGGGAAATATAAGGGAAAGTAAAAAACCATTGTGGCATCCATTACTGGGCAGATACAAGAGGCAGGAGCTCTTGTACATCTGAGGAAAGTGGAACCTTTCAACCAAGGGGGTCAGAAGACTCTAGGAACTGAATATTGGTGAGAAAACTACTTAGATCAAGACTGTAACTTGCTGAAGTTAAATGTAGTCACTAGAAAGTGTGTTTTGTTTGTAACTTTTCATCTCTCTTTCACTCTTACTAGCAATCACTTCTTTGTTAATAAACTTATTTTTGGTTTTACTACAAACCATCTCAGTGCTGTATAGTAAAGAGAAGTGAGAGTCCTCAGCTAAATTAATAGGTTGGTGCTGTGTACTGACTCTTTAAAGACAGGTTTCAGAGTAACAGCCGTGTTAGTCTGTATTCGCAAAAGAAAAGGAGTACTTGTGGCACCTTAGAGACTAACCAATTTATTTGAGCATAAGCTTTCGTGAGCTCATGCATCCGATGAAGTGGGCTGTAGCTCACGAAAGCGTATGCTCAAATAAATTGGTTAGTCGCTAAGGTGCCACAAGTACTCCTTTTCTTTTTGCGAATACAGACTAACACGGCTGTTACTCTGAAACCTCCATTGCATGGTACATCTCCTTTTATCATTTTATCATATCATTTTAGATAAGCTATTACCAGCAGGACAGTGGGGTGGGAGGAGGTATTGTTTCATATTCTCTGTGTGTATATAAAGTCTGCTGCAGTTTGCACGGTATGCATCCAATGAAGTGAGCTGTAGCTCACGAAAGCTCATGCTCAAATAAATTGGTTAGTCTCTAAGGTGCCACAAGTCCTCCTTTTCTTTTTGTCTCTTTAAAGGAGCAGCGAACTTAGTGAGGTTCTGAGAGTGCTACTGTCAGAAGAACTGGACTCTGCAGCACGGATAGTTTTGGGGAAATGTGGGGCTGGGAGGGTGTTGGTGCCACCCTGCAAGCACTAACCCAGCTGGCAAAAGCCAGGGTAAAGCTATTGGGCTGTGAGCAGGCTGCTGAAGTCAGGGCTCTGAACCAGATCTGCACAGCACAGAGGTACCCAGGGGTATAGAGCAGGTGGTGACTGGTCTGGGTTCTTACAACGAGAGCTCTGTTGGAATGGTTTTTCAATGGAAACTGCAGTTTCTACAAAAATAAAAACTTTCATTTTCATTCTGGGCCAGCTCAGTTCAGATTAGAATATTTCAGTTTGTTGAACTGAGCTGAAATGTTTTGGCTCAGGGCCCCATGTTTGTGTTAGAGAAGGTGAAGAAGTGTGCTTTGCACTGAGAAGGGAAGCTGGGAAGGTTTGTGATGGTTCTTGGTGTTTATGCCATTCAGAACATGTTGGATCAGAGATTAGATGACTACAACATGCTCCACATGGGGATACACAAGAAGACCACTCGTTCTGGGTCTAGCGCACAAAGCAGCTGCCTATTTAATAAGTGAAGTTTCATGTCAGGAGAACATTACACCATCACTCTGGGGTCTGCACTGGCTGCCTGTACATTTCTAGGTGGAATTCAGACTGGCCCTAATAGGATCAAAACCTGGATACCTGAGAGACTGCTGTGACTGTATGGCCAGGAAGAGAGGCAGAGAGATTAGCAGAGGTGCTCCATCTCCTTCGTAATAAAAAGGAGAGGGCTGATGGCAGGGCTTTGACCATGAAGAGCTATCAGCGTCTTAGCAGAAATGTTCAGCTAATGGGACTTAGACTCCAAAGTGCCTAATCACTTCCCATGTCACAGGTAACTGAAAAATTTTAACCCATGTGCCTATCCCACAATCCTAAATTACCTCCTCAAACTCCCCAACTGCCAAAAGCCACAATTGTCCTCATCCAGCTGCTAAAACTTCCAGATTCTCCTGGCAACAACCACAATGCAGTTCTGGGTTGTCGGTGCCTTGATGTGCCGAACACTGAAAATGTGGGCACAATCTCAGACAAGTTGAAACTGACAAAGACTGTAAGTGTTATCAGAATGCGAAGGAAATGAATGACACACCCAGTACATTACTATTATCTAAAAACCTCCATATGTTAATTCTCAAGTGAAGAATTTCCTGTCTGCTACCCCAGGATGCCACTGAACCTAAGTTTGTGCATAGCGATGTACAGACTGTAACCAAGGTGGGGCGAGTGGGGCAGCTGCCCAGGACGCAAAGCTGTGTTGGGAGGGGAAATGGGGCAGCACAGGGGGTCACACATTCTCTCCCCCTCCGGATTTCTGCCTTCCATTTAGCACAGAGGTTTTCAAACAGGGTGTTCTCCACAGTTTGAAAACCATCGCCTCCTGCCAGGAGCCAGCAGATCAGTAGCTGGTGGAAGCTGCCTGGTCCGCTCAGACCCCTGGCTCTCCACTCTGTGGGAGTCGGGGCACTAGCTGGCTGCTTGGCAGCCCGAGGCACTCGCTGATCACAGCCCTGGTGCTCCTGACTCTGCTGCTGCTGCATGGGGAGGGGCTGGCTCCTGGCAGGGGAGCATCTCATAGCAGCCAGGCTCTGTGGGCGGGGGCCAGCTCCAGGGGTCATCAGTGGCGGCTCCCACCAGCTTCTGATCCACTGACTCCTGGCAGGAGACGATGGTTTTCAAATTGTGGGGTGTTCCCCGTTTGAAAACCTCTGTGCTAAACGGAAGGCAGAAATCTGGGGTGGTTTGTGACCCCACATGCCCTCCCTGCATCGCCTCTAGGGAGCACAAATATGCTTGCTCACCCCACATGCTAAAATGCCTACTTACGGCTCTGGCTATGTAATCGTGGTAACTTATGATCAGGGCAGGGTGCAGCAAAAAATGGTTTCTCAGAGCTGCCTCAAAAGGCTATTATATTCATAACTTCTCCCAGTTTAACATTGTCCATCTGTGAATTTCATCAACATGCTGTTAAGCCATATTGTTGGTATTTGGAGTGCAACATCCCAGCCAATTGCCCATACTTTCTACAAAGCACATAAATTCTTGACCATATCATCCATCATCTGAATTAAAGCAGATAATTTCTTATGAGCAGATTTAATTTCTGTACTCAGTTCTCCATTCACCAAAGCCGACATGCTGGTCGTGGTGTGTAGCGGCCAGCTCTGAATTGCTGTTTACAAATTGCTCTATGCACCACTGTCTCTTGTTTAAAGGGGTTGAACAGTAGCAAAATACAGTCAAATCCACATAATTGCTTTTTAAAATGGAAAAAAGTTACATCAAAGAACAGAAAGATTAGTTCCCCTATATTGCATCTGAAAATAGATTATGCTCTAGGGCTGATAATGTACTATAGTTATAATTATTATGTAGCCACTACAAAAAAGCCATCTATTGTTCTAATAAGACATTTATAAATAACCTGGACTAGGTCATATAGACAGCATATGAAGAAGAGCAATGGGGTGAAGACACTTATAATAAAAGGAGGCACAGACCCCCTTAAACAGGAATTTATTAGGGAGATCAGCAACAAGCTACAAACAAAGCAAGCTGACTTTCATCTTGTTCAGCTTCTGAAGACAACTCCATTTTCTGAAACCTTTAACACAGCACAGATACATATAGTAGCCAAGCAACATAAATCCTGACCTCTGATAGGCATGCTGAAATTAATGAGAGTTGTGCAGGTTTGACTCATGGCCCAGATCTTCAAAAGTATTTAGGCACCTAATTACCATTGATTTCACAAGGAAGTTACTAAATCAGACTCAGAAATTAGTAACATCTATTTATAGGACAGGCCACTTGAGAATCACTTAAACTAAGCAGCATTATCATTGGTTCATGTCGTGTACAGCTAATGGATAAACTTTGAGCTTGAAGTGGTTTCCAACAGGACAGAGTTTGAATGACAGATGAGTCACAGCACCATGGAGCTGTGTAATGGGCGAGCACAAGGTTTGGTTGATAAATGATCAATTAAAATTTGAAGCTACTGCTGAAGACACAAACATAAAGATTTTAAGCCATTCATACTTTACAAACTAACTAAGGACAAAATCTTGTCCTAAGAGTTTAAGTGCCAAGGTTACGGAGTCATTCTGCTAGCCCAGGCCAGGAGAGCTCAGAGTTTGCTGGAGAATGCACTCTGTAGCACTTTCCTGCAGACCTGCAAAGACTATGATGAGAAATTATTTATTTAAGGCACAACTGAAAAAAACCCATCAGATTCTCCAGGTGCAGTTACAAAAATTAAACCACATATACAGCCCTCCAAAAAAACCCCCCTCCTCACCTCAAACCTTCAATGAGCTCTGGATCTGGCTCCATGGGAGTTTTGCCACTGACTTCAATGGAAGCAGGGTGAGGCCCTTAGATAGCACCTTTCACTGAAGAAACGTAAGCTCTGTGACAACCCTTTGCATAGCCAAGTGTTTATTATATATATTTTACAGATGGGTGATCCCAGGCATAGTGCCACAGAGTGAGTCCCTTGCTTTAGGGATAAGACCAGCTCCCACTTTCGATCTAAACTTTTACTCCTTTTTAGGCTCTCTGTAGCTTTAGGAGCCTAAATACCATTGAAAATCTGGCCCTACGTCCCCTAGCTGACAACTGCCACTGACTCGTTAACCTTTGTTTGGATCAGCCACTGGAGGGGGACAAAGACCCACATGCGTCAAGCTTGTGTTAGGGGAGCTCTTAAGAGACAAGCTGTATCTTGTCATTAGTTAACAAATAAAATGAAATTGACCCACCCTGCTCCAGCACCTGTGACATGGCCATTCACCGTAACACCGTTAGCAAAGCTGCCACTGGAAATGGGAGAGTTCACACAACAGTATTAAGAATACATTGATTAAAGTTTAGACATTTGTGTCTGACTTTCAGATTTTCTAAATGAGTCTGTGTCCTTGTTTACTGTTCCATTCCAGTGAAATTTACACCCAGATACCCCTAGCGCACACTCATGCATACAGACACACGCATAAAGCAGCAACATGTACTCACATCAGCAACACACACAAAGGTCAGGAATGAAAATTTGTATTCAGTCATCCTCCTCAAAGTTGGACAAAGGGCAGCTTTGCATAAGGTGTGCAGTTCACACATTGTGCTCATAACAGAATTCACTTGTTGTAGCATCTCTACCGTTGACAGCTCAACGTCATGCTTCTCAGAGCTTTTCCCTTCAAGTTTACTGTTTGATAATTTTCCTCCACTCATTTTGAAAGTGTCCCGTACAGACCAAGTACCTGTTGATACATGCAGGAAAAAAATTAGAGTAACTCACAGTTATCATTTGGAATATTTTACAATGCATGGTCTGATAACTGTGGCTGACAGCAAAATGGCTGAAGTTATAACAGATTGCCTAGTTGCACATGGCCAAACTGTGTCTGTGTGAGTCACACATACTCATTATAGAGGGACTTGCAAGATTCATCTTTTTTTTGGTTTTGTTTCCAAACAACAGACGCTCATCACTTCTCAAAGTTATAACAAACAATGAAATAAAGACGGCATGGTAAATTTCCAGTTCAGTTGAGGGGGAAATAGGTTTGCTACTCTCTTTGTAGTGGCATGTGGATCAAAATTCTCTATGCAAAGTGCTGCAAGTTTACCTTGGATCATTAATGTAGCAGTTTTTCCTTGACTCATACCTGGCTTTTCTCAAAACTAAAAATACACCAAATAGAAGAGAAGGCAGAATGTGTGGCTTTCTCAGAAACAGATATTTATATCCTGTTACTAATGAACAAACCTGGACCTGTTTTAAGAATCCAGAACTGATATAACAACCTGAGATATTGGTATGCAGTCTGTGAACAGTAGGTGGAAATTTGCCAACCACACAGTTGGAAACTGCATTATGTATTGCTACTCCCCCATCTAGCTGACAATCGGGAGCTACCGATTTAGACATCAACTGAAGGTGACATTTCAGACTTTGAATTTTGGCTGCATTATTTTAGTATCTTCTAAGTGTTTTGTTGGTTCTCTGTTGGGAGGCACAAGACCTATCTGCTCGTTTTTATAGGGAAATTTGAATTTCTGATTTTAAAAAGGGGCAAAACGTTGGCTTTTTAAAAAGCCAGTAAAGTGTTTTATAAATCTTAGTTCAAAATGGTTGCATACAAACACTGTTGTCTGGACTGAAAATGGTTGAGAGACCATAAATAAAAGGTAATGATACACATCACGATATGAGATTTGGGAGAGATGCCTAGGTCTGAAGTAGCTTTTCCTTTTTTCAGGAGCTGGTCTCTGACATACAAATAAACTCTTCAGTTAGTGTATTAGTTTCTCCCATTTTTTTTAATGTTTTACAAAGACAAGTCTGTCCTTGTCACAAAATCCAAACGAAATGTGCTCTTTGCAAACATGATCATCAACCAGCATTATTTTCATTGTCCTTGCATGCATGCGATGTGCTGCAGAGAGTTGTAATCCACCAGACCCAGTACAGTAGGGACCTAAGTGCAGGGAAATGGGGAATTATAACCAGCATCTCTGGATCTGCTAGTGAAGAAAAGTGGAATATTAAAAAAAAAAAAAAAAAAGTTCCTCCGTGACCATTTCAGGTTATCCCACAGTGCTGTAGTATATTGCGTAGTGAGACCACTTCACCAGTGTAAATAACTAACGATGATGGTCAGAACTGAACTAATTTTAGATAAAGGAGCCACGAGCCAATGATTCATGTCAGTTGGAAGTCCAGCAACACTCTATAATTTGACTCCTGATTTTCCTACAAATAGGCACCCTGTTAAGGTGATTTTTTTAATGTGATATTAGAATGCTGTCAGGACAACATCTTGGGTGTCCCCATCAAACCTGGTTTAGATCATAGTGCTAAAGCTGGCTTCTTAATTTGACTTGATTCAGAGCTGTCATCCTGCTTCTCACAGAGTCACTTCAATAAGTATTATTAGCTGTATTACAGAGATGGGATAACTAAGGTAGGGAAGTCAAGGCCAAGAAACCAGTGACAGAATTAGAACTCTATTATTCCTAGCCCCTTGCCCCATACTTCCTCCAGTATTGTCAGTACCAAGCCCGGGGGTGGGTGGGGGTCGAGGATAGAGTCAAGCTCATAAAACCCAGGAGATTAGCTTAAAAATCATGGGACTGAAAACAAACACACACACACACATTTTGGGCGCTTTGTATTTGCCTATTGCTTTTTGAATTTTAGGGGGTCACATTTTCAAGATTTTCACTGCACCCATGAGAACTAGAAACTTTTTTTTTCCAGTGAAAGCAGAAATTCTCACGTAACTAAATGACACCAGGAGTTGGGAATGTAAGAAAAATACCAACTATCACCAGCCTTGATATCATCATGAGAGCTGGAGAGACTGTGCCGCTGATGGCATAGCCACATGGACACTTTGTCATTGTTTAACGCATTTAACACATCCAAGGGTGTAGAAATGTGCATTTTACACATCTGTGTGTGTAACGGTGGGATCTTTGTGTGTAACAAGTGCCATGCAAATGTTTCAGGTGGAATTTAGGCAGCCAGTTTTGATAATGTGGACCTTAATATACTTTAAGCACAGATTTAGCAATGCCCTTGATGGTAGGGTAGGAATGATCTAGCTTTGTTCCCTTTCTCATAATCTTCTTTATGACTTCTGCAATTATTTTATTGGCCCATAAATAAAACCTCTTTTGCTCACTTTATTGCACACTTGATAGTGAGAGTCATTCTCACTCCCATCAGTTATTTAGACTACACGTCTGCTCCCCTGCCACTCCAGCTTGAAATATGCAAAATCTTCCTTTCTGCAAGCCAGGAGCAGATTCATGCCAGTTCAATAATATCTCAGTTCTAAAGCAATAGCTCAATTAGCTTGTACTATTCAACTGCATGTAGCTGCTTATCTCTGAACATAACATTTTCCATACAGTTAGCCAAATTTGGCCATTGCTTTACAGTGACTATAGTGAGCTTGTTTGCAGAGGCAATAAGGGTAGAATTTGGCTTAATGTTTCAGATAGCTTTTGCCAGCATATATAGGAACACCTGTTGTTTTCTGTTTACAATATAACTTTCCATTTGTACACAGCTGTCAAAATTACTTTGTCACCATGGAAAGGGTTGTAATTAGCATTTTTTTTAAGCAACGTGGAGAATGGCAGCATCCAGGAAATTACAGAGCTTGAGGAGATGTAGGAGTGGTTGTGGTCAGGGAGGTATTTTCCTTTTCGGGACAGGGAAGTAGCTGCCTGGTTCTGAGCACCTGCTTGATAGGTGGTGGTAAAATTAAAGCATGTGACGAACATGGCTCATTCAAGGTGCTTTTGAATCAGTACCTTTGCCTTACAGAGATACTAAAAGTTTTTATGATCTGTGTGCACTTGTATCGGGCACCTTTGAGATGGTGATTCCATTCGTCAAAGGTGGCTTTGAATTCTAGAAGCTCTTTATCTAAAGTCTCCTAATTTTACAGTGAGAGGGAGACCCTGGAGCACATTTACATAGAGTGCATCATGTTGCAGCCCCTCTTCTGGCTCCTCCTGAACCCTTTATTGAGGTTCTGGCTCCAGTTTTCCTTGCACCTGTAGCTCACGAAAGCTTATGCTCAAATAAATGGGTTAGTCTCTAAGGTGCCACAAGTCCTCCTGTTCTTTTTGCGAATACAGACTAACACGGCTGTTACTCTGAAGCCTGTGTTTAGTCAGTGGCCAACAACTACAATAGTGACTGACACAAATGAGTGACCATTGCATGGCATGATCTTACAATCACAGAATCATAGAAGATCAGGGTTGGAAGGGACCTCAGGAAGTCATCTAGTCCAACCCCCTGCTCAAAGCAGGACCTACCCCAACTAAATCTATGTGCCACTGTGTGGCTCATCATTATTTTAAGTTGTTGCTAGGCTACCTCTAGGCCAGGGCAATCTCTCAGTGGAGTGGCTCCCATAAATATAGAATCATGAACTCATGCCGCCTCTGTAATTTTTCTTAAGATTTAGAAGAGACTCCTTCCTCATTTAAAAAACCCCAAACAATTTAAGCAGACACTTAATTGGAGCTTCATGATGATGCACTTTTATCCAGGGCTGGAAAACTTTTATCTGTTAGCCTTCCACCAACAGGAGAGTCTTCGCTGTGAATGGAGTCATAGCACAATATTTCCACGGGAGGCTTACAATGAAAGCTTTGAAATCAATATGTGCATCTTACTCAAGCTTCATTTATATACCTGCCGGACTGTCAAGCCAATATCCAGGGGAGTTGGTTAGAAAGAAGAACACTGCGACTTAAAGAATGAAAGATTTCCAAAGCAGACAAGTGTCTAGAAACAAATTTTCAAATCTTTGGCTGCAAAAACTGACCCCCACCATCCAAATGTGGCTTTCCATCCACATTTGCAAAACGACACATGCAAATTGAGTAATTTTGCATATAAATAGCTGTTTTTATGCCATTCATGTCGCATTCCTTTGCTATGTGTCCTCTCGTAAATTAAGTAGCATCACTCTCTCTGTGTCTCTAATAATTTTTGTCAGCCCTCTGAGAGCCCCTTTTATTTCTGCTATATCCTTCTTAAGATAGGGTGAGCAGAAGTGGATGCAATACTCCTGAGAAGGGAAGGCCACAGATTAGGCAGGAAAGTATTATTTTCCTCATTTTACAGATGGAGAAACTGAGGCACGCAAAGGTTAGGAGAACATAAGAATATAAGAATGACCAGACTGGGTCAGACCAAAAGTCCATCCAGCCCAACGTCCTGTCTTCCAAAAGTGGCCAGTGCCAGATGCTTTAGAGGAAATGAACATAACAGGGCAATTATCAAGAGTTCCATCTCCTGTTGTTCAGTCCTAGCTTCTGGCAGTCAGAAGTTTAGGGACACTCAGAGCATGTGGTTGCATCCCTGCCCATCCTGGCTAACAGCCCTTGATAGATCTATTCTCCGTAAACTTAATCTAATTCTTTTTTGAACTCAGTTATACTTTTGGCTTTCATAACTGCCCCTGGCAACAAGTTCCACAAGTTGACTGTGCGTTCTGTGAAGAAGTTCATCCTTATGCTTGTTTTAAACCTGCTGAATAGTCATTACAAGTATTGATTCTTGTGTTATGTGAAGGGGTAAATAACACTTCCCTATTCACTTTCTCCCCACCGTTCATGATTGTACAGACCTCCATCATATCCCTCCCTCAGTCATCCCTTTTCTAAACTGAACAGTCTCAGTCTTTTTAGTTTCTCCCCCTATGGAAGCCTTTCCATATCCTTGATC